GTCCCGAGCGTGGCAAAAATGGCGGCAAAGAAAGAAAACGTGCAGACAAAGAGCAGGCGTTCCGCTCTGTTTGTCCTGTCGCAAATCACCGTAGACTCAAATAATCAGCAGTTGGAAGAAAACCTTGATAACAACGCGTATCAAAATACGTTCAGGTCTAAAATCATACTAGCCTCTTACTTTCCTGTATTTTTTTCAGTTTCACTTTCATAATTTATTCATACAGTTATTTTGCAAGGGTCGCAAAAGGCCAGCTTGCATATCAAATTAAGTGGTGCACAAAAGTGTTTCGTACATCTCTGTTGATGATTTGAATTTTTCGATACACTAAAATTCAATTTGAGCCCAGAGATTTCCCGTCAATTATGTCAGTATTCTAAAACTCTGGCTTAGATTACATCTGGAATTTAGATAATTAAGATTACGTCTGTAGGAACCAGGCTAGCCGTGGCGACTCTTGATTCGGGCTTACATTGCATTACCCTCAGCAAGAGTCGTGGAAAGATCCATTGGCAGAACTGCACATTTCCCGTTGGCTGCACGATGCTCCGTTTTTGACCCGGTTTTTGCTGTCCCGAGCTTCCCTACAATATAACTCCACAATTGGCCGGGTTGCCGATGTTTAGATCAGCCTAAATATTCCACAGCGCGACAGAAAAGAAGTAAAATAGCTAGTCGGCACAAGTTGGCGGCCATCTTGGATATAGTCGGGAATGTCTCGGTAGCCTTTCCGGTTATAATCGGAGAGCTTTCGGTCGCGCTTCGGTAATCGTCGACGCTACCGAGCGTTCCCGACGGCGGTAGCGGACATTCCCGACTATATCCAAGATGGCCGCCAACTTGTGCCGACTAGCTATTTTACTTCTTTTCTGTCGCGCTGTGGAATATTTAGGCTGATCTAAACATCGGCAACCCGGCCAATTGTGGAGTTATATTGTAGGGAAGCTCGGGACAGCAAAAAACCGGGTCAAAAACGGAGCATCGTGCAGCCAACGGGAAATGTGCAGTTCTGCCAATGGATCTTTCCACGACTCTTGCTGAGGGTAATGCAATGTAAGCCCGAATCAAGAGTCGCCACGGCTAGAACCAGGCCAGTTTAGGCGTGGGAAGGAAGAAGACCGTTGATGTCACTCAATGTGTGATCTGCATACAAATTAGATACGATGACAATTGTTCTCATGAAAATGAACTGTAATTCTGCTGAAACAAAATTTACACATAACACATTAACAGATTGATTAGAAATGTAAAAATTTGTAAGTCAAGCCTGGGACATTTAAATTTTAAACAAATTTGTTCATTTTGCAGCTTATAATTTATGGTGTTGAATAATTAAAATATGTATGTCACTGTATCGTTTACACAAGTTCTGTAAAAAAAGTGTGAAGTGGTTTCAGACTGATTCAGTATCTTGTAACTTATCTACTACTGAGTACTAGTATGTTAGCCTCAGCGACCTGAGTGCAATGTGGTCACTTCTGTTTTATTCACACAACCTTCAGAGTGATGTCTGAAAACTTTTGGGTGGAGAAACTAAAGATTATAAAACAACTGTAAAGCTTATAATAACATTTCAAACATATTATTTATTTATCTGAAATCTACCAGGTAACCTGACCTGAAGTGAAGTGTATAAAACAAAGTGGCAGACATTTGCTCTCCGGTCTTGATGCCCATAGGAACCTTACAAAATGACACATGCACAAAACTGGTATCTGTGATATCCATGTTGGTTGGAGTGTGCTCCTTCATTTTTAGCAAGAGTCGTCGTTTGACGTCTGTAGGGTTCTGGTTCGTCAGTACAACTTGTTTATATTTGTGTATAGACACACACACACACACACACACACTGTCACATAAGTACAGTATTACTTGACACTCCTGTCTTCTACATTGTGTTTCCTTTATCTAAGACATCTATTTGGCCATTGTTCCTACAAGGGATCTATGTGTATGTATGCCTGCCTTCAGCAAGGGAATTAAGAAAGCGTGATGCTCGCCGAGCCGTGAGTTACCACATATATACGTCCTAGCTTTTCACCATGTGTTTAAATGAACATGTCTGCAAGTTGTGCTGTTGCAGTTGTTAGTCTTTCTTTAATATCTGGTCAAGAAATTGTATGATCTTGGTGCTCATCCTAGACTGGTAAACCTGCACTTTGCAAAGATGAAGTTGATGACATGCTAATACTAGTGCAATTTTTTTCTTTCGTTTACATCTTAACATTGAGACCTAGGGGATATGTGATGTGTTCATCTGCAATGATCATTACTAAAACGTCTATTTTGGCATTTATACGTGATTGCTTCATGCAAGTTTCTCTGGTGTGCAAGCAGGCCAGTTTAGCACAGTTATGTCAGCTACAAGTGCAAAATTGTGAACCTATTGCTAGCTATTGAGAGAAAAAAGATGTGGAAAATGTAGATGACAAAAATTGAGTTGAAGGTGGGAATGGTGTAGTTCTGGGTTACCCTGCTCTAACCCCTTTGTTCTAGATGGCGGAGAAACACTTAAGGTGCAGCGTGGCAGGGAAGCAGGGGCCACTTCAGTCACAGTGTGTATTCAACTTGCATGTCTCACTTTTTGCTTCCCAACTTCCATCCTTCTGCCACAGGAGAGCGTACGTACCAACCTGAGACTTGGGGAGAAACTCCCTTACAGTCATGGCCATGCTTGTAGTTATCAAAACAGACACCCTGGGGAAAACATCCCAAATAAGTATTTAATACTGGTCAAATCTGGACAAAAAAAACTAAAGCAATGGACTCTTTAGTTCTCAGGCTAATCTGTTCTCAGGGACCTGTAATAGCAAAGTTATACCTGACTCTAGGCTTTTGAGTGTTGCAAATAATCCTTTATCATTATAGTGTAATGGAGTCATCTGACTTGCCACATGATCATTCGGATCAGATCGTGTGATAAAGTACATATATGATTAAGGCTAATGACAGGTTGTATCACTTATCCTGTTGCAAACTGGCTTTCCTGATGATGATTTCAAATGTTGCAATAAAAACATTTGAATGTGAAAATTTAGGCGTAAAATCTAAGAGCCAGGTATGCTCTTGCTGTTCGTACCAGTAATTCTAGTCCCTGAGAGTTGAATTTGCTTTGAACTATAGACAATCCAAAGAGGAGATTCAACCTAAGAATTTTTTTCAAAGTAACAACAACATCTACTCCTTAGGAACATAAACACACTACAAAAGCTGATAAAGGCCAAAAAAGAAGATGCAACCCCCAGACCTAGATATTTTTATGGGAAGCTTGTGGCAAATCCTGAAATCCTGGGGAAAGAGAGATTTAATGAGCTGGCCATACATTTCACCTTTGTTCCAAAAACCAACATGCCAAAAGTCGAGCATGGACGGAGTCAGAGAAGTGTGTCCACCTTTAGTTGAAATTTGGCATGTCAGATTCTCAGAAAAACCTGTATCCCACACACATCCACCAGCCCCAACCTGTGTGTGCTTCACCCCTCTCATACACCCTTGGTGTGTTTGCAGGTGATCCAGGGCGTTCCAAGGTCAGGTTCACAGATGACAATGTGTGTAAGAGCTTCCTATTGGAATGCTGTCCCCACGACATGCTGGCCAGCACGGTAAGCTTGTTTTTAGTGTCCAGAAAATGTCCTAGAATCTTTTGTTCATGCTATTCTAATTGTGTTTGTGTGAAGGAATCCTTTTCTGAGCTAAGGACAAATGTTTCAAGAGACCTGTTTTTTAAAAACCTGGAAATAAGCCTTCCTCACTTTGCATATGTTCTTTCAGAGGATGGACCTCGGTGAGTGCCCCAAGGTTCATGACCTGGCCTTACGAGCTGACTACAAGATAGCATCAGAGAGGAAGGACTATTACTATGAGATTGATGTAAGTCATTACTGATAGCATTTTGTGTATGTATTTTAAAGGGTACGTTCTAAAGCAAGTAGAATTAAATGGCAATAGTAACATAAATATGACAGACAAAAAGCAAGTACCCACGTATGTACTATGTTTAAAGGATCGAGGCATTTAGGTAATGCTTGTTAGTTAGATCTTGCATTAATTTTTCCAGGCGAAGTACTATCAGTCTATCACAGATAAAATGTAAATCAGTTCCTCTAGAAGGTGTCCCTATGACAGTAGCCTCGGTACTAATAGTTTTGTATCCCTGTAGGCAATGGAACACCTCCAGACCTTCATCGCCGACTGTGACCGTCGTACAGAACTGGCAAAGAAGAGACTGGCCGAGACTCAGGAGGAGCTGAGTGCAGAAATCCAGGCCAAGGTACAGAAACCAATATCTCATCATTCCTTCATTACCTTCGCCAAGAAGGTTATGTTTTCAGGGGCGTTCGTGTATGTGTGTGTGTGTGTGTGTGTCTGTCTGTCTGTCTGTCTGTCTGTAAACACGATAACTTGAGAAGGCCTTGATGGATTATTTTGATACTTGGTAGGTGGGTAGGTCTTGATGAGACCTCAAAATGATTAGATTTTGGGCCCCCTAGCGGCTTGTTATGGTACTGCAGCTGAACTTCCGGTTTTGATATCTCATGATCTAGACATGCTATGATGATGAAATTTGGATGGTAGGTAGCTCT